TGCGTGGCTAATGCAGTGTTGCCCTATACAAGAGATAGTATCTGTTGGTATTTTAAAATTCCAATATCTGAGTGTATATACGAGGGGATTAGCAAGAGTTCGGTAAGTTGACCAGAGAAAAAAAATCTTCTTGTATTTATGCGTTATCTTTATCCTTTTTAATATTCTTCTTAAGCCTAAAGATCCACTTCTAAAAATTAACTTTAAAATATTGCTTTTTGAGCTTATCAAGTGCAGCTCCGGTTAATGATTAATTATCCCCTCGTTGCTATTAAGGACCTTTCCTTTATTTTTTTTTTTTAATTTTTGGAAATAACCAGAAATCACGAGGTGCTATACCCGGAGAATATGGTCTTCGTTGCCAGAGATCGAAATAAAATTACTCGTTATCTCAGCAGTGTTAGAATGACGCGTTGTCATGATGTGAAAATACTCTTTCTTGCTGTTTTTCAATAAATTTTTGAAAATTATTGATAAGCACCCTTCGGTGTACTATTTTGCAGTTACCGTCTGACCCTTTTAAAATGGAATAGCAGCTATGGATATAGATCGGGAGTGAACTGACATCATTACTTTTGCTGCTGATTTTTTTTTTTGCTTAGATTTTACGGGTAGGTTTGCTCCTGTTGGGCTCTATACCATGGACTGCTGTTTGGTTTCTAGATCGTACTTATAGTACAAAAATTCGTCAGCAGTAATGAATTTACTAAAGCTGCTAGACTGACCATGGACTTGACATCATCAGTGGCAGATAATGGTCGACCTACAAGGAGTTCGTCGTCTACGGAAAAAAGTCCGGTCTGGGATCTTCGGAACCACTTTGGAAAAGTCTTGAAAGACGTCGCAATCGTTCCATATGCATTTTGGCATTCACTGAATATTTTTATTGACTGAAAAATGCGTCGAAACCACATGGTGAATTTCTGTTTACGTTGGTGGTGGTATATTATCTGACTTATCCTCAGCTATCTTGCGTTTTCTCGTCTCCATTTCAGCCGATCTTTCTAATATTTATTAGTCATAAAGTTATTACAAAGGATTTGGTAATTTTTCGATTTAGCAAAAACAAATTGAAAGCCAGCAGCTGACCGAACTTTTGTTAGTCCCCTCGCATGTACATTCATATGTTTAAATGTAAACCTAAGTATACCGTGCATGTGTGGGTGGTTTCCGTTGTATCCAATAATCTTGTTGCAGACACTCACGTGTGTTCTGCCCCAAAAAAAAAATGTATAACACATCCAAGGCAACTGGTATTAAGGTGTCCGTAGGGTCGGTCGCTGGGAAACTTCAAAGCAAATATTGCCAAATGCTGGGTTGCTGGGTGTTAATAGTGTAAACAATGTGTACACGTGCTGTTCTCGAGCGGTTACATACATATTTACATAATTTTATATATGAAAACGCATGTATGTATATATTTACTTGTTGTGTTCACAGTGAGGCAGCATAAAAACTTACGCTTTAGAGCTCCTATCAACATATTTTTGTGAACTCTTAAAATCAGCAAAAGATTAATAATATTCTTGACAAATTCACTCTACCTCTTTCTCTCTCTCACTCTCTCCCTCTCTTTCCTTCCCTCCCTCTCTCTCTCTCTCTCTCTCACTATCTCCTCCCTTTCCTTCCCTCTCTCTCTCTCTCTCTCTCTCTCACTCTCTCATCTCTTTCCTTCCCTCTCTCTCTATGTGTTCCGCTCCCTCGATCTCTCTCCACCAGAGACCCAGAGATTTTACTTGTGTTAAGGCTAGTGTGTCATAAGAGGGGACTTATATCGTTATAGTCGGCTCTTTGCCCCGAAAGGACTAGTATTTTTATCCTGACAAGAACTATCACTCCCCCAGTATTTGGGAAATAATAATTTTTCGGTTACTACAACAACAACAGCAGATGGTTAGAAATTAAGTTGAAGTTGGATCTCAATTGTGCCTGTATTACTCGGTTCTCTCGTGGCAGCTTGAGATGTTCGTATCCATTAGTTGGGGACTAGATTCCGAGAATGCCATTCGCTGGAAGCGAATTCATGAAGATTCGGACCAACTTTCCGTAAATATCATTTAAGGCAATTCTTGTCTGTATTGTCGAATATACCTTCCCTTTGTACCTAGTTGAAAGTTCAGCCTCAACTTTATGTTACCTGTTGACCCCGTCAGCCCTTGACCGGATAAAATTCGGATCAACTGCGCTGCGTAGAAACTGTTGTCGTCGGAGCTGGTCAAGTTTATGTCTTTTCAGGTACTTCTAACCGAAACATCTCAGCAGATTTTGTTTCTACAGCATAACATTAAGCACATTGTCAGCAGTTCAGCGCTTCCAGCGGTTTTGTGTTATAAATTTAAATGGAGTCAAAAACTTCCTGCCTGATTTATCTGAAGGGCTTATCGACTTCTAGTTTGATCTCTAGTAGTAGCAGCCCAATACAGCCTCTCCTGCTGCAGGGAATATGGATGTCTCGCTATGCAAAAAATGTACGGGCAATATAAGGAGACTTTCCGCTACTTATCTCAAAGGGGTTTTATGAGAGGCTTATAGCTTCTTTATCAGTGTCTCGCTGTTATTAACGGACGAAATCAAAATTCTATTTCAGATCGCACCGGTACTCTTTCGTTCAGCTAATAAAGCAGATCGCCCGGGTAGTTGTAAGTTTTGTGTGAACGGTCGAAGTAGTATCAGTGTACCTTAGTATTTTGGTTCAAGGAAAGATTCTCTAGTGGCGGAGGAATGTTCTAAATATAAAAACTGAGCAAACGCGGAAACGGGGCACAGCCCTTCAGAGCTCTATGCTTAATTTTTCTGAGTTCGAACCTGTGAGCTCGAAATTCTACCGGCTAGTGTGTGAAAGAATGAAGCGGCAGAGCCTTAGCTGAGTTATCGGCCTCCCTCAGTCGAACCAATTTGCGTACTCCATGTGCTTTTGGCGCAATCATGTGGCCACCTGGAGGGCTTCGGACATTCATAGTACCGCCAGTATAGCAAATTTATTGGACATTACTGTAAATGTCGATAACTATCAACACACCAATGCGGTTGATGACGTTACTGGCGATGATTTATTATATCCCACTATCCGTCTGAAGAGTCTTAGCAGCTTTATACGGGCATACATATAGATATATCTACATATAATATGTTTGTATAGTTCTTGCATTAAGTACTTGTACACCAATGTAATTTCGTGCATATACACACACTAACAAATATACAACACATTACATATGTAGGTATATAGTCTTAAGTGGCATTTCCAACACTTACGCACGATATGTTGAGCTCCGACACTGAGCGGATCAGTGTGGGCGTGCTACGGCGAGAGAGTTGTGTGGTTAGGGAACTGTGCGGCAGCCTGGTTAGCAGGTTAGTGTCATTGTAATCCAATGCCTGCAGAAGCTCATTTTTTCTCTTTGCATTTAAGTATATTTTATTTCCACTTTTTTTCTTACATTTTATTTACGGCATTCCATTCACGCTTTCACATCAACACATGCCAGCAATTGTATACATTTTTCTTTTGTGTCATTTACGTACGTATATCTATATACATAGGTGACGCCAACACATCCTTGGAGGTTCATTGGTACATATGTATGTTTGTATTTATATATATATATATATATATATACAATGGGCAGATTGATTGAATAGTGGCGCTGAGAGGTGATTGAAGATTCTAATGGCATGGCAAGATGTTGGAGAATTGAATCTTCGCACTCAATTGCAATTGCATACATTTTTATATACGCATTTACATACAAACACACATATGTATATACATATAAATACATGGTAAAATGTGTGGAAAACATGTCTGGCGAAAATAAGGAAAAAAATAGTAAAATTAGGTATATCCCTTTATGAAGTGAGTGATTCCTTTCATTTCTCTCATACTTACATATGTATGTATGTGTGTACAATCATAAATGCATACTTCTTCTCAAGAATTCTATCATATATATTATGTATACCGTTGTTGTTGTTTGTTTGCAAACGACATTGAATTTTATTTTATTTGCAACAAAAAAAAATTGGTAACTTAAGTGAGGACAAATAAAGAAATGAAAGGGGGAAAGGGTAAGAGTATTTGGATTCGTATTGAAATATGGCTAGTTGTTTGCAGTTGTTGTCGTGCTAGGATCATAAGAATAATGATACCAATTCAGCAGGCTCATCTCAAGGAGAGTAGCTGCAAAAACCAAAAGGGCACTGCTGAGTTTAAATTCGAAAACGAAACTCAAAGAAAGATAAAAGTAAAATTTGATTGCAATTTTTCAAATTTTTAAATTAGAGTTTTGCCAATTTTTAGGTTAGGTTATGTGATTCTGCATGCATGAATAGAATATCACCAACCATGAATGTCAGTTACATTTATTCAATTTAAAATTAGTGAAGGTGACAAACCGGAAGAGATTTTCAGTTTGTATGTACATACAAATCCATCTTGTTTTCGCATACGGCGTAAGTACACCCTGCGGCTTTTCGCAAGAGGCAACTAAAATCCAATCAAACACCTACATGTATACACTACATGCATATAGCGTGATATATTCCAAGCGCCTATCTCATTATTTCCACCAAAAATCTTAGCTGAACTACATTTACAGAGTGAATACCACAAACCCGATTAATTTGCACTAAGCACATGTAATGATTGATTATTATGGCCAAGAATTTGCAGCAGAGATTGGCTGATATAAATATGTATGTGAAACAGTTGTTGTTGTTGTTGTTGTTGTAACCGCAAAATTATTCCCCAAAGAACTTTTTGGGGAATGTTGCGGGAGTGACAGTCCTTGGCCGGATAAAAATCCGGGTCGTTCCGGTATAAAGACCCGACTGTCGCGAGAACTATTGGATTTTAGTCGCCTCTTACGACAGGCATGCCTTACCGCGGGTAAATTCTTGAGCCCCTAAACCGCAGGGGGTTATGTGAAACAGTGCTTTTTAGTAGTGCACATATTTGAAACCCCACAAAATCAAAATTTTAATTAAAATAACACAAACAATTTATCAATTCATAATATTTCATATATATTTTCTCTTAAATCAACTTGGATTTCAATGCATGTAATACTAAAAAAAAAGAAACTATACACTAAGAGAAACAAAGTTCATAATATTAAAATTACATCGAAAACTGCTAAAGCTCTAAAGTAATTTGATTACTTTCTGCTCCAACTGCAGACTTGTCGCCCATGTTTATTAAGACCGAAGTCTCGCAATTACTTAATTACCCAATTGTTGCGAGCAATTGTTTGTTATTTAGGTTTTGAAATAACGTTGATATTCCATATTAACAATATGAAGGTGTTCGGCCGGTCCGGAACAATACGGGCAGCAAGTGAAATCCATTAAGTAGGTAACCTAGAGAAAAACAAAGAAAATATACATTATTAGTCACCTAGTTCAGAAAATTGTTTATATCACATATCACTTGGTATGGCACACTTCACTCTGCTAGTGTAATCAAAATCTACAAATAACAATTCCTTAACTTACGTTCGGATGTATGGTACACGCCTCAACGATACGTCCAAAGCTAAACATTTTGCAAAAGATGCAAACAAAAGTATTTGGTTCCCGATTACAAATACATCCTTCTAAAGTAGTCTCTTCTGCTTCGAGTACTTCTATTGGGGAAATTTTATCCTTTTCCAGAATATCTTTGCCCACCGATTTGCTGTCGAAGTCAACTCTTGCTGAGGTAGAATTTTGCTTACGCGCTAAATCCAAACGTGCATTGACGGAGCCCTTCTTTCTATTTCTTGCTGGCATTTTTCTTTTCTTTTGTTAAACGTAATATCGGTTGTACAAACTGATATTTTGTTGGAAAAATTTTTTTTTCAAAATATTAGCGATACGCCAATTTAGTTATTTTTCGTTTTTTTTTCTTAGTGCTAACGGTAGTTTAGGGAGTAGATGAATTCGTATATAATCTATTACTTGTTTAATTTTTTTAAAAAAGGGTGAACCAAACGATGCAATAAGTTGAGACGCCTGAAAGCTTAAGCCTTAATTAATTAATTAATGCTATTTAATAATTTTGCTTTCAAAACTTTTTTCAACTCTTTCTAATAGTAAAGTAAATGCAATATGTGGAATGGAATTTTCTAAGTTAAAACCATAATATAGTATTTGCTAAGAGATTTTACAAATCACAGCGAAGGCAACGCCGAAAGTTGAACAACTCTATTTTATTTCCAAAGTTGAAAGGGAAACCTGTAAGCAAAACTTAATAATTATTTAATATACAATATTTTTAACTTTAAAGGAGAAAAATATTTGAAGAGATATATGTTGTATCATATTTTCATCATGACGTTGGCTTATTTCTGTAAATGCTAACTGCTTAAAAAAATATTCCATCTTAATGAAAGAATATCCAAACAAATAGTTTGTGCTTTTTTTGCCTTTAGCTGGAATCGAACCTACGTGCTACAACTCGGCGGTCGCGCGAGCACACTCTGCTACTGCCATATCATTTACCGTGTGGTATACATGTTGTAGTTAAAATAAAGGCATTCCATACTACATCTTCAAATATATAAAAAATTCGCAAGAAACACATTAAGACAGAAATAAAAAAAATGTTCATGCTTTTTTTAGGTAATTATAGTTCTGGTTGCTTACAGCACGAAAATATAAATGAATAAACAAAATTACTTACGTGCATATTGGGTGTCAAGTTGAATTAAAAAACAATTAAAGCAGCAAACGATCTATCTTTCACATAAGTTATTTTAATAATAATAAGGGGCTAAAAAAAATTGATGATAATTGGAGCTGAGACCCTTTACTAGTCAAAAACTTCTTATTAATGGCAATTTGAAGTATATAAAGCTCCGAATTTAACAATAGACTCGAGGTTCAAAAATGTATAATGTTATTATTTTTTCTGATCAAATTAAAAGAAATCATAATGCCAGTTTTGCAGTTCAGTGTTTATTTTATTTAAATATGAAATATTTTCCTTCTGTGCTATAAATTAAACCACAAATTCCTTCTCCATTATTTAACCAATTCCTCACAATCGCAGAAAAACGCTCAACACTTATATTTTCCTTGAATGGCAACAACCAAACTACTCGTTTACTAACATTTCCTATAGTAATTTTACATTAATAATAAGTCCTTAATATAGCAAACAAATACTCACAGAATACTGAAAAAAGCCAGAGCAAGTCTGTAAAATAATCATTAACTCGAATTATATGCAAACATATAAATAGCATGTAATTTATTATAAATAAATTTGTATATATGTAATTTTTGTTTTGTGTACCAAAAAGTGTATGTTAAAAATACCAAAATAGTAAATATTATCATGCGCAAAAATACAGCACTGTGTGCCGTTAACTCCCCACATTCACCAAACCACATGTACCACCCAGCGTGGTGAGTAAAGAAAAAACAACCACCGGCACGCTGTACACTTAATACATATTAGCGCGCAACGAACATATGGCTCGTTGGTCTAGAGGTATGATTCTCGCTTCGGGTGCGAGAGGTCCCGGGTTCAATTCCCGGACGAGCCCGTTGGCTTAGTGCGCTGGAACATATATGAAAAGGTGCGCAAGCGTGTTCAATTTTTTATTTTCTTTTTTAATTAAAACTTTTTTCATTCAATTATATTTTTTTTGTTATTTTTGGTTTGTATACCTGTTGATTAGAGGAAAAAACGTTGAATTTCAATTTTCACATTTATGTTAATTATGTTTGTCTATATAAGAAAAAACATTGTTGGAATTATGTATGTATGTATGTATGTATGTAAAAGTATGTGTATATGTATGATGATTTTTGTGCATAAAATAAAGCAAGAACTCGAGTATAAGCAGATAAATAAGGAAAGCAAAAAATGATGATAAGAAAAATAAATAAGAGAAAATAATAAATAAATAATGGAAATTAAAGCGTAGAAAGACGATGACTAATCAAAAGTTTTTATTTCGATTTAACACAAACAAATGCCGGGTCTTGTTATCTGGCACTCATTCACTTTAAACTGCATGTTCAAGCTGTGCGTGTCTATATTTAAATGGCGATACGGAATTGTTTACAAATAAAAATACTTCTTGGGAGTATTTTTGTGTAAATTCTTGCTGATAAGTATTGTATATGAAGAAAATGGCTTGAATGATGTTAAGGCAGAAATTATAGATTTCATTCTTAAAAATTCAATTTAGTCTTTGTTTTTTGTATTGCAGAATAACAGACGACATACATACATTGAAATAAACTTATTTCTCTCATATTATTAACTCGCAACGTTTTATGATGTAGTCTGCCTGCTTACGGCGGCCCTTGGACTCTGACGTGTCCAGTAAAGTCAGCCGCGCGCTGCCGCTGTACGCGATAAAGCAACAGCATAGACGTTGGTAAAGACAATGCAATGGAATTGACCGTTTTGGCTAACACAAAAAAGTGAACTAAAGAAAAAAGCAAAACGGAAGCCAGAATGGAAATGAAAAGATGAAAACGAATTACTGATTATCTAACAAAAAAAAGAAGAAAAAAATGTGCGTAGCGAAAGTAATTTTTTAGCGAAAAGAATAAGTTGAAAAAATACACAAAGAATTACGAAATAACGCAAAAAAATAAAATAGCCACAAAAGTGACTAACAATACTTTTTTGCTTCTGTTTTCTTTCATTTATAATATTTCTTTTTTAGAATAAATAAAAATTATGTTTAGAGATTGTATACACTATTTCTTTTTTTATAGTTAAACCATATTTAGCATCAGAGAAGTATTTATTGCTGCTGCTACTGCTACTGCGCTTTAATTGTTGCTAGCTCTGCTGCTGCTGGTCTTAAGGCTGGAAAATATGAGCTTGCTCTTGATAAGCTGCTACGCGCTCGCTGGCATTAGAATTTAAGTCTCGTACACACCAACATCGCGCTAACACGAAAAACACATGATCCGTCAGTCAGATAAAGTTCCATAAACGTTGTTTTATTTTCGTAGTAACGCATGTGCTTATGTATTTTTGCTTTCTGCTTCTGCATCTTCTCTTCACTTTCAGCTGTTTGTTTACGGCATTTATTATTAATAATAGCTTAATTATTTGTTTGTTTGTTTTTTTTGTTGTAATTGTAAATGTAGTCTGCTATGGTACGTTTTATATTTATTTGTATTTGTATGCTTGTTGTTGTCATATATGTAGTACTAAGAGTAGTAGTTTGTTGTTGTATTATTTATAATTAATATAATATTATTATGTTTAACCAGTCTATTCATATTCCAAAATGTTCTTGTGGTAAAATAGTAAATAGCTGAAAGAGGAAAGAGAAGGAAAATATAGAGAAAAGTGTGCAAGTTAAAATTTAAATTTTTTTTTTTAAAAAACAATTGTTTTCTTTTTTTTTTTAGGAAATTACTTTACTAATTTATAACTCTTTGATTTTTAATACATACCCTTCACTGTCCAGCACTTGCTTCAATGTCGCCGTTGTAATAATATGATCATCACACTTTACCCACGTATCTTTATGATGACGCACATAGGCAATGTAATGGCCCGAATCGATGGTGCCCATATGATTGACCACCGCATAGAGGGAATAGCGAAAATCTCCATATGCATTGGTTTTCTCTGACATGAACGGTGTCATATCCAACTCGACGGGAAATGAGATGACCGTGGAAACCTTTTTGTCGATCGATAGGGATACATGTTCGAAACGCTTCAAGTGAAAACTCGCTACACTGGGCAGTGTACGTAGACTAAACTGCTTCGTCGACTCTTGGTATGATTTGCAGGTGGAACATTTGATTTTACCATTTTCACCGAGATGTTCGGCACGTGTATAACGCTCTAAACAATCGATTAGCGTCTTTGGCGTTGTACCACCATGTGCTGTCTCACCCAAATCCAGTGATATATCCCAAAAGGGATCTATAGTTGTGGAAACACCTTTACACTCCTGACACACGACATCACTCTGTAGCATGCCAGTGAAAATTTGATCTATTATACAGTTACACTGTGTTGGGCAATTACTATTCACATTTGCATTACTGTTCGCATGTTGATTTCCACTACCACTGCCACCACCAGTACCGCTTCCGCCAGACGATGAGGCATTATTCTGTTTATTGGCACTCTCACATTCTGTCTTTGCTCTAATACAATGCCGATGCAGCACGTCCAGCGTGGCAATAAAAAATTCATGTGCATCTTGTTGTTCATAGCCGGCTAAATGTTTTGCATGATTCCAGATCAAATGCAGTAGCCGATCCAATGATAAAGGCGAGCGTGAACCACTGTAGAATTCCTAGACAAATGTTACGAAAAGCAAAAAAAAAAAGAAATGTGAAAAAACAACTAAATCACTAAAGGTGAAAAAAAAACAAACAAACCTGAAATAAGCGAGAAACCTCACACACAAGACAATTCAATGATGATTTCGCGTTACATTCGTGTCGCTCCGATAAGAAATATTCAGATAGCAGTGGTGTGTGTATTAATGCCTATAGAAAATAAAAACAATAAATAATATGAAATTATTCAAAACTGCACTCTGCCTCCAACACTCACCTGCACAATGCAATTCATAAAACACGTGGAGCCGATATTTGTTAAGCCGCGTAATCCTATTGTCTCGTTGGCACGCACATGTCGACGTCTCGGATTGGCCAATAATAAGTTCGTCTCTTTCGGCGTTGGTATCCATGGCTGCCAGCTGAGGCTTTTGCATAGATCTTTCGCTTCTAAACGTCGATTGATAGTTGCTATCTCTCTACACCGGCTATCATAGATAAAATCTCGGCATGAATTGCAATACAATGTGCCATGTGACAGCTCTAATGCAATTGAATGCTTTTTTGCACGCAGGTGTGTAGCGATGTGTGCGCCCCGGCAGCCAAAGTAGATGCAGTGAAGGCAGGCGTATACCTGTAGGCCATAACTGCCGCATTCAAAGCAACAGCAGGAAAGTGCCTACAAAAGGAGAAATGAAAAATAAACACACGTTTTACAAAACAATTTTAACAGTTCACAAAGAAAAAAAAAGATTTGCAATACAACACAAAAAAAAAATTGTTTGGTTTTAATGTAACACACCTTTTTCTCTCGTGCATCTTTATTCACACACGCCGAAAAGTATGCATCAATTATGCGAAACGTATCTAAACTTTGCTCCTTCACGTACGCCTGGAAGTGTTTACAGCCCGTCTCCGCCATAGTTGTCGTCAACTCGCAGCCCTGGCCAACAGCACCTGCTGCTGCTGGAGCAGCTTGCGTGCGTTGTACACCACTACTACAACCTGCTGCACCACTAGTTCCACTCCCACTCGCCTCCTCGTACCCTTTTTGCAGCTGCTGTTGGCTGCGTGTCCTGCGTAGTGGTGGCGTTGCGGTCAGCTGCTTTTCTTCTGGGTATGCGCCTGCGCCGGCGCTGGCTCTACTACGACTACTACTACTATTACCGCTACCACCACAGCGACCACTTACACTACCGGTTACAACTTCAGCTGATGCTGTTACCGTTCCACCCGCAACCCCTCTAGAGACTGTTCGACCAGCCTTTTTCGTTGTCGTTGTTGCTCCAGCAACTCTTGATGCACTATTCCCGTCACTTTGAATAAGCCTTGCCGTTTCTTGGCTATCTTCGTATTTGGTACACCGCACGTCAACGACACTAACACTATTAACACAGGCACTTCCAACACCAACACCAACACCGACAACGATAACGTTCGAATCAACAGCACACCGGCCGTCACTATAGCTATCTTCACTCTTTGCACCACTATTTCCACTAGCCTCTGATCCAGCCGCTTTTGTTCCGTTCTTCCTAGACGCGACGAGTGCAACTTTTTTACTTTTACGCTGTTTTCGCACAATTTTGTTGCTTTTTCTTCCAGGAGAAATTACTCCCTAATCAATCGATAACAATGCTGATACAAACTTTACTTGCTCAGTGCACAGATTTTCGCGAAAATATACAAGTTTTCGCTTTATCCAAATTCTCTTTACTGCCCTCTGGCAAAGCACCAATCCACCTTTTTGCTGTTTCACTACTTTTCGCTTTTGCGTCGGTTTCGTCGTTATTCGATTTTTTTCTCCGTGCAGTCCGCATCTGTGCGGCGAAGCCCAGCACAGCTTTTTGTTTTCAGTTTTCTTTGCCCGTTGACAGGCTTCTCTGTTAACGTAAATGTTTTGTTGTTGTTTGCAGATTTTGTGGTCGATTTTTATCGGCCACTGCCTTCTCTTTTGTATCACTCCAGTGAATGAAGCGTCGAAATCTGGCAGTGAACTCAGCTGTAAAAGTGCAAGTAAGAAGACGATATATAACAGCAGTATAAACTAAGAATGAGACAACTGTCTGATACAAGTGCGAAGTTGAAAGTAAAAACAGACGGCACTTGACGTTACTGAATTTGACAACACTGTCAGAAGGGAAATTTTCACAGGATGACACGAATACAAATATTATTGAATTGAGTCTAGTTATTTGCCAATGACATTTTAATATAAATATTTTCGAACAATCGAAATATAAAGTAAAACGTTTTGCAATTTTCAAAAAATGTGGGGCGCATTAAATTTTCAATGGAGCAATCAAAGAACGCATGCGTCCTTTTCGGCTCTTATTTCAAGAATTTATTCTTTGCTTTAAAATATTAAAATTTAATCATCTTATTTTTTCCTTATTTAAATATTTTTTTTTTTAATTTTTGCAAGCAGTTTCTAATTTTTTTCATATTTTTGACATTTTTTTTTTTATGTTTTAGAACTTTTAGTTGCAACTCTGTGACAAATAGCCCAGCTGTAATCAGTGCCAACGGTTGTTAGGGAAATTTTTTCTATTCTGATTATTCGAATTTTTGACCGGCAGCGGGTAATTCGCGACCCGCGACCTGCGACCGAGTATATACATTTTTCCTAGAATTTTTTGAATATCAATAAAATATGGAATTTGAAAAGAATAGAACACCGCTCAAAATGTATTCAACATTACATGTGAGTGGAATAGTGACACATAAAGTTGGTAATGAAAGTATAGAATTGGTTAGGACACCCGGAGGTGGCAGATGCCATAAAAAGATGCTGCATCCACGTACGCCTAGTAAGACAATAAATTGCAATATATCAGCTATTAGCAGTGTTTGTGGCAATTCAGCTAAACAGATTTTATACTCCGCTGCCATGAGTACGCCGCCAGCGAAACGATTTCATCGTATAAAGAATCCTTTTGAACCTGTATTAGCAGACCGCCTGCATTTACCATTAATTGCAAGGTGAGTGCAATTAATATCGAAAATAATGAGTTATGCTTAATTCTTAATTATACCGCATTTCAGTCCATCATTATTTCAGCGCCCAACAACACCTCAGCTGTCTTCAACACAATTCGAATGGAATATTGACGAAGTGTCCTCATTAAAGCCAGCAAATGTAGAACCACATGAAACGCAGTTTCATGATTCACCTGATCCAGATTATGAAGCAAAAGCACAGTCCGCAATAAGCTCATACTTTAAGGATAATCAAATTGTGCCAAGTCCAGTAGATTGCCAGCTGCGCAGTCAACGCATAATACTTTCGGAATTGAATAGTAATACACCAATTACAAAGCCTGGACGACGTATACGTGATTGTGGAACGCAAACAGAATTAACGTTGCCATTTATATTGCCACCAGATTTAGAGGAAGCATTAATGCCATATTTTCATCCACAATTGGCTTTGGCTGATCGTTACAACTGTGAGATAGAAGCGCAAATACGTTTTAGTAGTGAATCAAACATGTCGATTTCTAACGATGCTAAGGATGTTTCGTTGCGACGGAAACTGTTCGATCTGAACAATATTGTAGTACTTGATGAAGCTGGAACACCAACGACTGATACTAAATCCATTACGAAACATCCAAACTCCAGTCCAACATCCAATGGGGGTAATTCGCGCGATAGCGGTGGCAATCACTTTGCTATTGTTGGTAAACTGTCAGATTCCATGGACAAGAGTTCGTTCGGCTCGCTTTCACCCATTTCAGCTTCTGATGGACTTTCTAATTCACCACATTCGCCAATAGTAAATCCCAGTGGCATGAAATCACGCATGCAAAATTTCCTACAAGAACTGTCCGATGCTGAACAACTGTCACCAATACATCCACCTGTACGGCAAACCAGCAGGCGTGGTCTTGACAAAACACAGTTCACAAATAAATCACAACAGTCATCAAAGGATAGCTATCGTTGTCAAGAACTTAATCAAAGTGGACCAGCCACATTGGGGGATGCCTCGTTAGCCAACATGGATGGAGTCATCGAAAAATTTACTCCCGACCGTAGTTCTTCGCCATTGCGTCTGAATTATTACTCTAACGAATCGGAGACAGCGAATGGTCATTTATCAATAGATAGCAGTTTCAATATGAAAATCAGTCGTTTGGCGGTGAATAGTTCGAAATCCATAAAACAAAGACCGCCGTGTATTGGGAAAACTCATGAGTATGACGTGTTCGCAAATGATGACACACAAGAATTGATCGAAGATGACGATATGCAAGTTTCACAGTTGTCGGTGCAGAATTGTAGTTCATCTAGTTCAACGGATACACCGCGTAGTAAAAAACGTTCAGCAAGTCGTAAAAATTTATCACAATCTTTCTCGCTTAATTGGCTGGATGACGAGGAACTTGGTGAAGGTGAACAGCGGAAAGAGGACAAAGATAATTTCCAAAAAATTCCAATAGATGTGCCACGCATCGATATTAAAGCTGTAGATGAGTTGATAGTGAGAGAACATGAACTCCAGCAGCAACAGCAAATGACGAAGCACGCTTTGCACGTAAAAAGCATTGGTGTTGACAAACATCATGATGGCGTCGATGAGCAAACCCGCGCAGTATTCTATCGCGTTGACAGTGGCTTTAATGAAATGCCGGCCAGTGGTTCCTGCTCCAGTTACTCCTTGGGCGCAAGTCAAACATATGATAGCGCACATTCGCCCACCAAAGAACTGGACGTAAGCATGGTCTGTTGTTCAACGCCTTCAAAATCCTCAAACAGCATGAGCGTTGAATCTTGACGGCACATAATTGCGTATAGAAACATTGCCAAGCCTACTCCATATTCAATTTTTATATTTGCCAACTGCCTTTTTTTTTTAATTAGCGAAAATTTTAGAGGAAAAATTTAACAATATACATATATATATTAGTAACTAACGTTAATATTATATGCGCGCAATTATTGTTCCGAATGCAATATTCAAAGCCAACTTTTGTAGCAACATTTTAGGTTAAAGAATTAAATTTAGACTGTAATTTTTTTTTTTAGAATAATCAATTTATATACGAGACTGTCGTGCTGCAGAAAGTACTCATTCACCCACCCACCTATAAATATTTATAAAATGGTGCATCTACTTTAGAATAATTGTAGTAGTTATTACTATAATAGTGCGCCTGTAAAACACCAACATAACTGTTTAGTTTTTAATTAGTCTATTTCATGATTTATGCCATTTATCACCTAAAGAGCGTATATTTTATATTTCTAAAAAAAAAATGTTTCTATGCAGTTTTCTACAATTTCCAGTTCAAGTACGTATTTATTGTATGTTTGTAAATCATGTTCAATTAGGCCGTACTATGCACTATGTTTTTGTTATTTTATTTAGTCACTTTTACGTTCGTTTACGTCTATTATCAATTGTCCATTATTTTATATTCACACATACTTTTTTGTTTTAGAACTGTTTGTACGCAATTTCTCTATCACATACTATCACATAAATACACTTTTTTTTTATTCATTTATCATTTGTTATATGTTATATTTTGTAGCATTCACTCAGCAATTGAGTTTATTTTGAATATTGTGACTCTCGGCGCGTGTAATATTAGTAAAATAATAAAAATAAAGTGTCAAAAAAAAAAAAAAAAACAATTGTGTGTAATTTAATGGCGATCGGATGTGTTTTACAGGTTTGTATAATCATTTTGGAACTTATTGGGTTTCATGATTGGATTCGAAGCTCATAAGCATGATTTAAAAGGCGTGTATTTTTAATTTGAAACATTTTTGAACTTGCACTTTAATTTCTTTTTTAATTGCTGGACGAACAAAAGACTTAAACAACGAACGCGATTCACGCTACCATTAATTAATATATTTTTAGGTTAGAATTATTCTTAAACATATTTAAATCTGATTTACTCTTTTACATTTATCTAAGATCTTATACTTTTTAAAAACCCAATGAAAGTGAAAGCATCGATGCAGGCATATTTTGAACCGCCGGCAGTGAATTTAATGCGAATTTCCTCTACTGGGTATATCAGCAGCAGAGTCCTTCAGCTGTACATATATGCGAGGAGAATTCTATTCTATATTTTGGCATAAAGGTGAGTAAAATTCATAGGTCAACGACAACGCAGCTCTGCACCTTGTTGTCCGATATATTTGAAAAAATATGTATGTATTACTCAAAATAAATGAGATCTTCATGAACACTTGAGTACCATTAGTTTATGAGAGTTGAAAGTGGCAAGGTTGCATTGAAACGAATTCTAACGAAACTATGAAGGATCCACAATAGAAAATACGGGAAAATTTATTTGCATGTCTAAGAATTGAGAAATGAGGGAGAGTTTCCTGGAAGTTTCTGTTTGGATATTGGCAGAGTTACCACACACCGATACGACGCTACGTAAACCAATCTTGTTAGTTGAGTCCTGCGAAGTGAGTAAAAGTTATATTATGTGCGCTGTTTTAATTTTTCAAAAGTTAGCCTAAAAGTATACTACAGGTTTCTATGTTATGTATTGAGGCCAGGCAAAACCCTTGCACTTCATTAGACAATCCCGGTATAAAAAAAGAACTATTTATTAAATATCAATAATTTCTTCGATGAAACTTATGAATGGATTATTTTGTTTAATATGCATACTGTAAATGCCACTACAGGGATACCAAAATGACACAAAAAAGGGAAACAATTAATTTTGAATTAATTTTACGGATTTTTTGGAATTAGAGCAAAAACAAAAAACAATGCAAATATACATACATAAATATATATTAGTTTAAACTAAAAAATGCCTTGGTAAGCCTGCCACACTAAAAAATTACACGTATAAGAGTTTCATTTCACTTTACGTCAGAATTGCAATTTCCGTAAAGTGTTCAACGCCCTCGTGTGGAGATTCTACTGATCTGCTGTTGTCATAATAATTTTTTTTATTTTTTTTTGGATAAAAATTTATACAATTTATCTGCAATAAATATTTTTGACTACTTTGAACTACTCTCTATGAACACACACAGTTTATTTCGCTATACTCTATGCCGATTTTGTCGCCACCGAGTTTACTTTGTAACTAACTTCACGCTGTTTTATATACCTCATCATTTTGTCGTACTCAGTTCGAGATCTTTCTGGCATGCTTTTACGATATACGGAACATTCGAGTGTGCTTTAGTTATCGGCATTTTCTTTTCAACTGTAATTCGTTTTTGGCATTTTCGCCACATTTGTATTCTCAGTGTGAGTTGTTAACGTAATTATAATTGCTTAAAGGATATGTTTTAAATTTCCCAATAACTATCGTGATGATCTAGCCAATAAAAATGGGAAATATTTTGATTTTCGGCCGAGTTCAATCTAAAATTTGCATAATTGCTGCATGTATCTTGATATTTTTCCAACAAATGGAGGAATCTACGGTTTATACCAACATACATACATATGAATATAATGCAAATTTTTCAAACAAAAATTTAATTTTGTTTTGGTATATAAAAAGAATTGCACCAATTTGGCAGACAAAATTTTTTTATGATTAAAAATTAGATGTATATTTATTTATTATTATTTTACATTTATTTACATACATATGTATGTCTCGCTCCGTTTTTTATTACACTTATAAAATATTGTGAACTCCCTTAGAACTCGAAGCCGCACACCATTGCAACCCTGCTCATTTCAACTCAGCTGTTTGACGATCACCGCGGCGAATTTATCTACGGCGCTGTCAATACGCCAACGTCGACCCAGCGGCATGTATATTTTCCAACAAATTCATACAATAATGCATTTATACATTCGCTTCATTCGTTTCGCTTTGGTCTTGTTGACGCGTCGATGTGGTCGCGCCGTTTAGTTGTTTGTACGATTTTATGTCAAAATATTGAATGCAGCGTTAATTAACTGTGTAAAAGTATTTAAAAAAACAATCAAATTGTTTAGTACTCAACAGAAAAATATTGGAATATTTGTGCAACAATTTTTGTTTTTTGAGTAAAATAAACGTAAAGTGTATAGATTTTCGGAAATAAGGAGAAAAGAGAGAAAGTTTTTTATTTTATTTTATTAAATCTAAAAGTTTTGGAGATAAAGAAAGACAACGCAAACGCAGTTACGACGCTAGCGAGTAAGCAAGTCAAGTTGGTCTATTAGCTATTTGTTGGCAGTGTTGTTGTGGTTGCTTTTGGCCCCGTTTGCGGTGCGGTGGAGATAAATGTATTAATACTCATGTACATAAATATATATGTACACATATATGTAAATATATGAATATGTGCATGTGGCGCATTTGTGGCTTATAAATATGTTGTCTGTCTGCATTTGTTGCATGTGAAGAGATAAAGTAGTTCATAAATAGAAAATGTTGCCACATTTGCAAGCGCCAAAGTGTGTATAATGATAGAATTTTCGTTGTTTTTTCTGAAGTTTATGAAATATTTACTTAAATATGTGTGTTTATCATTTGAAAATATTAAAAAAATGTTTAAAAAAAGATATAAAAAAAATAAAAAAAAAATTTTTTTTTTTAAATTTAAAAAAAATATTAGCAAAAAAATACCTGCAACACCAAAGCAGCAACAATGCGACCCCTCCTTTTGTTAACATTCTCTCGAAGCTGTCACTACCATTGTTCTTTCTTTTGTTTATCTTTTGTTACTCTTTGTTGGTGCTGTTGCCAGTAACAGTTTTTACCACATGAAGTTGACCACTGCCGTGCATTGTGCATTGAGGCGTGCAACAGGGGCTCTCGTCCAGCCGGCACCTACCAACATAAAAGCAATTGTTTGACAGTCAGTTTTGTTCACAGAAAATCCATATAGCACGCAAAAGCGGTACAAACATAAACAAGAACAACAAACTGTATAAATTAACAGGCGTTGCATACGCTTCCCGTCTACCACCACACCTTGCCATGTATGCGGGTATTAGTAAAATGATTGAATGCAGTGCGCAGACGCAACAGTGGAAAGTATCAGGCAAACATTATTTGTTATTTACTAAATAAATAAGTAACTTTCTACATACATATACATATGTATATACATATGTTTGTAATCTGTTTCTGTACGTACCATTCAATCAACTTTTAGTTGGTTGTAAGTCATAATGTTGTTTTTGCTTTGTTGTATTTTTTTTCTCTAAAATGTTTCCTGTTTATTTTATGGTTTGTGTATGTGCGTGTTAATTAACAATAATAATAATAATAATAACAATGATAACAACAATAAAATTCGTTTCAACAGGGGAATGCGCAAAACTGGGTATTCAATTAATGCTAAAAGCAATAAAAAGCAATATTTATTGTTAAAAAGTTTGTGTTTTTTTATATTTATTTGAAATTCCGGAAATTCCAGTGTAAACAAGTGGTGAACTAAAGCGTTAAAATAAAAAAAAATTAAAATAAATAAAACGATTAAAATATTGTTGGTTTGCTGGTGGAGATATGAAGTAAAAACTAAATGAAATCAGCATAAGTAAGTTTTTTTTTGTAATATAAAGTAATTTAGTTATTTTGTTAAATTATATTTATTCACAAAAAATTCAAAAAAAAATATTAATTTTATTTATAAAGACTTAATCATATATTTCTTAAAGCCAGGTTCCTCCAAAATATTTGTTTAAAAAAAGAAAAAAATAGTTATTAAAAAAAATATTTATAAATAGATAAAAATATTCAAACAAACAAAAATTGAATTTTTTTTTGTTACGTAAAAAATAAAAACATCAATTTTGCAGACAAATATTGATTAAAATTATATTTATATATATATATATATATTTATTATTATATTATATTTATTATATTATATTTAATTTTATTCATATGTATTTACCTCTCTGCTTGTTTATTATACTTATCAAACATTTTCTAATTGCGTTCGCCCCTTGGCAGGGAATATCAACTCCACCGACATGAAATAAAGCTCCTCATAAAAAACCGTCAGACGTTCGGCTTAGTACAAACTGTAGGTCCCTCCATTTTGTTGGAAAAACATCAAGACGCAAAACCACAAAATGAAGGAGGAGCTCGGCCGAAAATCGCTTCAGCGGTTACAAAGCGCCCATTTATATATATGCGACAGGTGTGTTCGAGCAGCTGCCATTTGAAAAATATTCATCGTATTGCAGAATTCCTTTAAACATATACTCTAAAAATTGATATATTTAATTTTCTGCGTAAAAAAATCGACTTTTTTGAACCAAAATTAGGGGAGGGACCCCCTCAGTAGCGAAAAACTTTTCGGAATTACAAAATATGCGCATATGTAGGTGCGAGTATTTTGGTATACAGTAAAAAGGAAGACATACAAGGAATAAAGAAAGGACACTTTCAAGCTCTATAAAGTTTATTTGTGTGTCGCCCAAATGTCACTCAAAACTTAATCGCCTCAATTAGTCGCCAAAGAGTAAATAATCTCAGTGATATAATTGCTGATAAACCCATTATGTGGGGCAACATCAAATGATATCCGCTTTCACTGGCTATTTCCCAACTCTTTTCCTTTTATATCTGCGTACATACATACAGATATATGTACATACATATATTTTCCAACAAGTCCTGCTTGATTGTACTGTAAATTTCACTTTGTTAGAGGAACATAGAAACCTACATATCTCTGCATACTCATAAATATGTACACATATGTATGTATGTATATGTATGCATGGAGCTAACTCACTAACAAAACCTATCCGTGGTCAGGCTCATTCTAAATGAAAAGCAACTTTCTGAAATTTCCATTTCAACCAATGCAACGGTACACAAACTAATTTATGAGTGAGCTAAAATTGGCAGCTGCGAAACCCAACACATGGTCGGTCACTCACATCTAATCAACAAACAAAAAAAAAACAAAAAAAAAATAAAGGCAAACAAATTCAATTTTGCTTTGGGGCAACAACAGCAGCAGCAGCAGTGACGGTAATCGAAACGACCGGTATTAGCAAGTATGTGTGTATGTGAGTGTGCAAGTGTGTGTGTGTGAGTGTCGCATGTACACCTGTGTGTGCTTTTAGTTTTCAGCTGGGCAAAATATCGTACAGGACAGTGAACGGGTTGTATGGTGTACATACATATGGACATACTCGTACATACATACATAACCATCGATTAGAGTCAAAATATATATATGTATGTATATACGAGTATCTAAGTACATACTGGTATGTCGGTATGTGCATATGTCTTCTTGTTAGCTTATAAATGCCGTTAGTTGGTTTCTCTTTTTCCAAATCTATATCATGCCGTTTAACCGGATTCACAAGTTGGGAGTTGACCATTTCATGTCATTATTCTAACAAAATTCCTACCACAATCCGATACGATTTGCGTGCATTGGATAAAATTCCTGTTTCACCTGTGTGTACATGTGCAACTATCCGCTTTATGTGTATTCAGTAGACAAGCATATATTCATATATACTCGTATATATATATATATATACACACACATACATATATGTATGCTTTAGTACAACTGAAAATGCGATTTCTGTTGCAGTCACTTAAACTATTGGATTACATGACACACTGACATGCATTCATTGGCAATACTGATTACTGGTCACAGATCAGGTGGAGATGTTACATTTGAGCCACAACACATGCAGGTAGGTCATACATACATACATACATACATACATATATACATAAGTCGATACGTATACATTTTTATGTATAATTTAATGGAAATGTAGGTACCCTTTTACATATAGGTTGACTCGTTTGGTAGCAGAATGAAATTTAAAAAATTTAAAATTAGCAGTTATAGTCCTTTACGTCATCTCCACTTGTTTGTTCCTCTCTAAAAAGAGCCAGCTGTGCTATAATAGGTGTCTCTTTACGCCCTCGTCAATTACAATGGCCAGATACAGTTGAGTTTCTTCAGTAGAGCCAGCCAAATGCGCGTGTCGAATCGGAAAGTTGAGCTCTCAGCGACCCAGTCTTTCACTTGATCTTTCCTCTTGCATGCCCTACAACCAGCGATAACACAAACTTCTTGCAAACGGAAACATGATCTTTCGACGGTTTTCATCGATTTTTTTTTAAATATAAGTTTGTTCACACACCGACGGGGGTTTCTGTTTCGTCACATAGTCTACATATCCAAGAGAGATCTTTTGTTGCTACGAATGGCTTATGAACTCATTAGTGGTAATACTGCTTGGAGCGAGTGAAAATCGTCAAAACTTTGTCACTTAGTGCGAGTACGTTCTCTTATTTGCTCAGTCACTGCTCTCGCCGGTACAGGTTTGTACATACATATATATATTCTCGGCCATGAAGTCGATGTGGCTTCTTGTATATATTTTTCGAACAGTTCTCCTGTTAGCCATTCCCTCGGACCACGGTAACTCCAAGGCAAGATGGGTGTAAGATAGCTTTGTTTACGGGCTTATGCAAAGAAGTGACTCGTGGCGTGATATACTATATTTTAGGCATGTAGGGTTCTAGATAAGTAGTATAATATTCAAATCATTCTTGAGCGGGTTTCAAGAGGTAGCTTGAACTCTACAAATACACTGAAACGTCGGTAATGTGACTGAGAAGAAGAGAAAGATGTCTGTTTTAGAAGATCTCATACCCCGAAACAATACCAGAATTCTGTTTAATTGAATACGTTCCTCCAGTTGAATGTGCAAAGTAGTGTGGCTGCAAAAAATGCAGATCATCATGCTCCAAAGCTCATTAGCGTAAGCGTTAGCGATTTCGTTTAGCTTCTGGCCCTCCTTCGTTCAAATAGTGAATAGGAATTTCATGAGTTTGAAGATCACGAGAGTAAAGTAACGAGGAAGACTTAAGAAATAGCTTTATTTTCTTTGAGCACAAATCATTAAATACAAGCGGGGATTAAAGTTTAGAAAAACTGCTGTCTCCTCCGGACTAGGGGCTCCATCTGGCAGGAAGGCACGTTTGTTGTAAGAGCCGACTAAAATACAAGAGTTTCCATGGCAGTCGGCTCTTTAGACCTGCATTTTTACGACTATCACCACACCATTTCCGGAGAATCAATTTGAGGAATTTTTGTGTGGTTCCTACAATAACAACAATAACAGAGAATCTCCTTCTCTTTAATCATAGTGGCGATTCTTCAGTGCCAGGTATCCGCGCTACGTAAGGAAATATAATTGATTAAGCACTAGGCTCGTTGTGGAACCCACCGATATTTTCCAGTGCACGAAATACATTTTTAACTGTACAGCCATCGCTAGCATTGCCACCATGGTAGATGGTTGGAATGTAGCATACATGTTAAATTATAAGAAATCCGAACTGCAATTTATTTATTCTACTTAGTTATCAAAAAGTAGTTGATTTCACTTGCAAATAATACGCTCTTCAGCCCCGTTGACTTCACTGATCACTTGAGAGTTGTATTGCATAGACCTCGGCACCCTGTACATATTATTTATAAATTCGTATCTACGCATTCGTATCCACTTGACCAATTTATTTCTCACTCCATTCGTTACATATCACTCTTCAACGCTTGCCACACACCACTCTTGTCTCCTCTCTCTCTCTCTCTCTCTCTCTGGTGTTTTGTTTTTTCTTTCTTTTTTATATACAATAGATTTTTGTGCTATTCTCGTTATTGGTAAACTACTTGAGCTTTGATATTTTGCATTTGCTCATCAAATTTATTTGCATTTGCACAAATTCGGCCAACCTGCTTCTTTTACGCACTACTACTGTGGAAAGTTTATTAGTGTTTTCTTTAACGGCAATTTTTGTTTTTGATTTATTTTTTTGTTTCGCTTGTCCGGTTTATTCTGATGCTTTGTTGTCTTTAGACCAGCTGTTGAGTTTTCCGTGAGTGTTTTAATTGTTTTGGATATGCATTTCTTTTTTGCGTTGTACAAACACACATTATTATTGCTTGATTGGCGTGTTTTGTTTTAATTGCTGCAAGAATTTTTATTTATTTTTTACTTATTTATTCATATGGTATTCTTACAACACTTTCTCTTATTGCAATTTTGGTAGTTAATTAAGAGCGAATATTTAAAAACTGCAGAAAGCAAATGGCATATTTTATTTTAATGGATTTAAATTAAATCTCTTTTAGCAGAATTGTTAACTTTTTTTCATGAATTTTATGTTTATTAAATTTTCCTATTATTTATGTAATAATTTTTTTTTTACAATTTTTTGTTATTTAATTAATTATATTTTTCGAATTAATTTAACTTATATAAATAAATATTTTTGTTCAATTAATTTTATTTATTTAATTAATTTTTTATTTAATTAATTTTACTAGTTTTAATAATATTTTTTTTATTCAACCTTTTTTATTTAATTTAAAATTTTTTACTTAAAACTTTTATTTTCCTTGTTTGCAATTAATTTATACACCGTAGCTTTCCGCAAATTTTCAGCTTATTTTTTACATTAATATAATTATCTTCATTTTCAAATTTATTTTTGATTAATTTAATTAATTATTTATTTATATAATTGAATATT